GGGAGGGAGGGAGGAAGCAATAGAACTTAGGAAGGAAGCAATACAGCTTCTCAGTGCTTTACAGCCCTCTCTAATCGGTTCACAGAGCCTCTTGCCCCCAACAATCTGGCTCCTCATTTTATCAACCGCAGAAGGCTGGAAAACTGAGTCAACCTTAAGCCTGGTGAGATTCGAATGGCCAAAGTGCAGGCAGCCAGACAGATGTAGCCTGCATTCTGAGCACTGCGCCACCGTGGCTCATAAGGGGTCCATGCCTCCGGATAAAGTAAGTTTAGCTTGTGGCTGATGCAGCAGTTGCACTGCACGACGCCAACAACAAGGTGATTTACCTTTGCATTTCCGATGACATTCCTCGAAAGTGCCAGGGTTGGGGAGCTGGTCGCATTTTTCTTCCGCGCTGCGGTCTTGCACAGGGGGAACCAGTCCGGTGACCGGAGGCATGGTGAAACCCGGCGGCACTGATACTAAGCCCGAGCCTGGCCCTGACACTGTAGGAGGGGGGGCCGGAGAGCTGGCAGCCAGGACGTTGCCCATGGTGTAAACTAGAGTGTAGGAAAAAAGAGCTGCTTATTACAGGGCAGAGGGTTTAAAACGGGGTGGGGGGATGGGGGGGTCAACCTCGATTTCATGGAGGGCTGCATCAGGGTTGTGTTTGACCTCTTTTGGAGGTGGGACAGCGGGAGCAGGGCCAGCTCAACTCGTGTTGGGGGCGCCTGCGGCGGCCCGAGCTCTCTGCCAGCGAAAACAGGCTCCCGAGTTCCGTTTTCGGCTGCGACCGCCTCCTGCAGCCCTCTGCCAGTGAAAACGGAGCTCGGGAGGGCTGCACACAGTCCTGTTTTTGCTGCTTCCAGGACGGCCCTGCGGGCTAGATCTAAGCACCCTACGGGTGAGATCCAGCCCCCGGGCCTTGAGTTTGACACCCCCTGGGTTGGACTAGAAGACCTCAAATGCCCTTTCCAGCTCTATTCTGATGGACCGATTGATTGGAATGGGGTAGGGTCTCCTGCGTGAGCAGGGGATTGGACTAGAAGACCTCCAAGGTCCCAGAGTTGGGACTACCAAGCTGCCCCCACCCCCCCAGGCCTTGAGTTTGACACCCCCTGGTTTAGGCCTTCAGAAGAGCCCACTGTTTTGTGCCTTCCACAATGAGGGTCTCAAGGGCCGCCCTTTTTAAAACGCTTCATCCAAAACAACGGAGCAGAGACCGGCTGGGAGAACAGAAAGCATGTCAAGAATAAGAGAGTCAGGGTCTCCAGTCTTGGCAACTTTTACGACTTATGGACTTCAATTCACAAGTCTTAAAGCTGCCGAGTTTACAGACCTCTGATTTAGCAGGTTTTTAACAAGAATTGGGATTTCTGTAGGATTTAGGGCAAGCGTCTTCCAACTTGTCAAGTTTAAGACTTGTGAACTTCAACTCCCAGAATTCCCGAGCTAAAGTGACTG